AATAAAGAGCCTCACTTCTGCTTCTTCTCCCATCTCTCCCTCACTTTTAAAGGTTACCCGGAGCTGAGTCAGGAGGCCTCGCCTTCCTGCAGTCTCTCTGCCTTTCCCTTGCTACTGACGGTACCAACCTCCTGGTCCCTGCACCTGCAGCTCTCCTCGTCCACAGCCCTTGTTTACAGTGAATTACACTTTCTGCTCAGGTGTCCAACGGGACAAGGATGCTCCAGAACTGACTTGAGTGTTAAGTGAGAAGAAGGTCTGTATTTCAGCACAAATAAAATATCACCACAAAAGTCTGTTAGCTATCAGGCACCTTTAAGCTTGATAACTAACCTTTAAGCAATGGAAGCCATTAGATATATGGACATTTGCACTGATTTAGGACAATTTTCGTGTTGTGAATTTAATGCTTTTTAGAATGTAATGCTTTTTAGAATGATAAAAAAAAGAGGAAATAGAAGCCCAATTGAGCAATGTCTGTAGTTAAAAAAACAATGGGATGTTATAGTCAGACTTTCTTTGAACTGCTCGTTCCCAAATAAAGATATGGAGACTTTTTACTAATTATGAAAGCTTGGCCTTAGCTTAGGCTTGTTCCCAACTAGCTCTTAAAACTTAAATTAACCCATTTATATTAATCTATGTTCTGCTATGTGGCTCGTTACCTCACCAGTATGTGCATACCATTTCTTCCATGTCTAGCTGGCAAATCCCCTGCCTCAGATTCTTCACCATAGTTTTTATCTCTGCGTGGAAGACCTCTCTAACCTCTCCTGCCTAGCTATTGCATTCAGCTCTTTATTAAAACAATCAGAAGGTGCCTTAGGCAGGTGAGGTAAGATAGAGACACATCTTCATACAGTGTACAAAATGATTATCAACAGGATGTAAGTGTAGATTTCCCACAATTCCCCAGCCTCTTTTGTTTACTCTCCACAGCCTTTAAAGCAGGACACCCCAGCCACGTGTGCTTGGAAGATGGATTAAAAAGCATATACAAACCCAGCAGCGCTTTCCCTTACATTACAAAACAGAATTAAAGGCTGCACAAAAGAGCTTTACCCCTTCCACAATAACTGGAAAAAAAAAATGAAGTCGCAAATTTGAGTGAGAACAAGGAAGGTACATGGGAGGACTTGAAGGGAAGAAAGGGAAGAGGGAAATGATGTAATTATAATCTCAAAAATTTACAAAATAATTTAAAAACTGAACCCCCCCCCCCCGAGAAGAATCACAAATTTTGATACTTGAAGGCATTTAGAGATGTGTTTCACAAATTCCCAAAATAAGCTTCTCTTCATCCTACCAACATGCATGCTGTGAATTCACACACCCACACATGGATGCACACGCGCATACACACACACACACACACACACACACACACACACACACACACACACACGGAGGCACACGCGCGCACACACACACACACATACACATACACAGCTTCTTCCATGACTTCGTGATCCCAGCTGTTCTCATTTCCCTTGTGTGCCCGGCCGCCTGTCAACTGACTCGGCACTTATTAACAGAACAGAATAATGCTCAGGCTTCAGATTCTGAAACCGGTCCTCCTCACGTCAAATTCCAGCTCCTCCACTTACTGTCTCGGCGTTTCTGAGCGCTCTTTTAGACCTTTCTTTTTCCGTTTCCTCACTTGAAAACACAAGTTCAGGGGCTGAAGAGATGGCTCAGCGGTTATGAGTACTTATCTGTCTTGCAGAGGATCTGGATTCAGTTCCCAGCACCCATACGGCAGCCTCCAAGCGCACGTCACTCCATTTCCGGGGGATCCAATACCCTATTCTGACCTCTGCAAGCTCTTGCGTGCACACAGCACACACACATAAAATATTAAATAAGCAAATATTTTGAAAAGAAAGCAAAAGAGAAGAGTGCCCTTCTAGGACTATTAAATTGAACAAATACGATAATATATGTAAAGCATCAGGGAAGCATCAGTATGTAATGGGTTCTGTATAAGTGTGTGTTAACGTGTAGTCTTCTCTTATCTGTTATCCAATTTTAATTACTTATGACCAACTATAGTATGCAAAGATTAAATAGAAAATTCCATAAATACACAGTTCCTAAAACTTTGGACATTATACCATTCTAAGTGGAGTGATGAAATCTAATGTCACTTGCCTGAAACACAAATTATTTCTTTGTCTAGCATAGCCACGCTGCATATGCTACTGATTAGGCATAAAATAGCACTCTTGGTTATCAGATAGATCACTGAGGTATCATAGTGCCTGTATTCAAATAATTCTTAATTACATAAGGACCCCACAGCACAAGAGTTGTGATGCTGAGGAGGCATGAGGACATAAAATACATACATACACTGTGTGATGGTGCCAGGGGACAAGAGGAAGAAGGCCCAGCAGTGTGAACACCAGGGCTCTCAGAGATGGGGAGAGATACCGTAATCCCTCAGAGTGGACTGTGCTGAGATTGTACAGTGAGAGGGCAGAGGCTAGCAAATCCTGATGAACCATGGAGAGAGGTGTAGATCCCATGTATCAAGGCAGCAAAAGCTTGCTACAGAATACTAATGAGCAAAGAATTTCACAGAAAAAGAAAATCCAGGGGATCCATAATACATCCTTCCTATGTGTTTAAAGAAGTACTGGTAAGCAGGTGGGATGTAACTACCTAAAGATGGGAAATGTTACTCTGTGGTAACAATGTTCGGTGCTCACAACTGATACAGTAATACATGTTCCCCCAAGATTAGGGAACTTTAAGTTAAAAAAAAAAAAAAAAAAAAAAAGCACATGAAGGGCCTGTGTGGAAAACAACCCTACAATGAGCACTGTGTACACCCGGCTAGCATCTCCTAATATAGTTCCAAAAGACCAGTGTGTCCATGCAACTTAACCCTAGAGTAACTGTCAAGAGCACTTTCAGGAATGAATGTGAGTTGCCGGGTGCAACAACTCAAACACACACCAAGTTTCTCAAGCATAGAAGGTAGTAGCAAAATGTAACTTACAATGAGAAAATAGAGCCTTAATCTTTAAAAAAAAAAATGACACAGATTATGGGTATAATTATTAGATATGGACATTGTAAGAGTTAATGTAAGCATGCTCCATATGTTTAAAACGTTAAGTAGAGACACAATGAATATTAAAATGTGGTGGTAATGTGTTCCCCAAAATATTGTGCACCCTAATAAACTTATCTGGGGTCAGAGACAGAACAGCCACAATATTAAACATAGAGGATAGGCAGTGGCAGCACACGCCTTTAATCCTAGCATTCCAGAGGCAGAAATCCATGTGTTCAAGGATCAGCCAAGCATGGTGACTCACGCCTTTAATCCCAGAAAGCGAGCCTTTAATCCCAGGGAGTGAGGCAGAAAGCAGAAAGATATATAAGGCGTGAGGATCAGAAACTAGAAGCATTTGGCCTAGTTAAGCATTTGGCCTGGTTAAGCATTCAGGCTCTTGAGTAGCAGTTCAGCTGAGACCCATTCTGGATGAGCACTCAGAGGCTTCCAGTCTGTGGAAACAAGACCAGCTGAGGATCCGGCAAGGTGAGGTGGCTGTGGCTTGTTCTGGTTCTCTGATCTTCCAGTTCACCCCAATACCTGGCTCAGGTTTGTTTAATTAATAAAGACTCTTTAAGATTCATGCTACATTAAAAGATACAAACAAAACATGTGGAGATAAAGCATAATGTGTGAAATGAAAAGCAATCCAGAGAGGACCGACAGCAAATCACACACAGCAGGAAACATACACTGGTGAGCTGGAAGTTACAGAAATTATTTTAAAAGGAAATTTGGAGATTTCTTTAAAATACAAATGAAACACCAATGAGCTATGCCGCAGCTAGAAAGTGTCTAGTATATGTGACGCGGAATTCACAAATGAGAAGAGGCAAGAGACAGAGGGAAAGTTTGAAGACCTCATGGCAAAAATCTAAGTTTAGTAAAAGCTGAAATTCTATAGATCCAAGAAGAAAACAGATACCACAAAGAGCCCTATATGTACTTAAGAAATTGAATTGTAATCACCTCGGGCCCAGGTGATTTGATTGGAGAATTCAACCAAGCAATTAAAGAAATGTTACTACCTCATGCCAGGCAAGATTGCCGTTGGTACAATAGTCTCAAGACCTATGAAGGTAATCAACTGCTTTCTCACTGGACCTGAGGCCCACTTCACAGGTGAGAATCCAGGCCTGGCACTGTAAACTGATCAAAAGACCAAGGATAATGTGGACTTGGTAAGATTTCAAAAGAATTTTCTCAACCTGAAAAAGGTCAGTTAATGTACAGGCAAAAGGCATCTAGGATCTGTAGATAAATCAGAATGCAATGTTAATAGGCTAAATTGTGTCTTCCACTCCCCAAATCCTGCATTTGGAGTTCAAGCCCCAGTGTCTCAGAATGCAACTCTATTTGGAGCTAAAACCCTTTAGAGGGAACTAGGGTAAAGAAAGGTCAGCTTGCTGGGGCCTGATCTAATGTAACTGATGTTCTTGTAAAGAGAGAGCATGAAAACACAGATTTTGGGGCAACCATGAGAGGACGTGGTGACAAGGTGGCCATCTGCACAACCAGGAGGAAAGCCTCATGAGGAAACAACACAGACGATGCCTTGACTTGAGCTCCTGCCTCCAAGTGTGCGAGAAAATGGATTTCTTTTGATTAGTCTCCTCAGCCCGGGATATTTTGTTATAGTAGTCCTGGCAAACTAATACAGCCAGCTGTATTTCAGGGGTGCCACTTAAAGTTAAAATAAATGTGTCTTACTCTATGGATGTACACAGTATATTAGATATATTAGCTGAATAGAAATGAAAATACATGATTCACCTGAAAAGGAACAGAGAAAGCATTTGACAAAACCCAACGCCTATTCATAAGTACAAATTCTTAAACAAGGCAGAAAAAAAAAAGGAGTCTCTCAATCTGAAAGACAATCTATGACAATTGATAATTAACATCATCATTAATGAGAAAATAATAAATGCCTTACCTGAAACAGTGTCTGTGGACACAGAGGAGGATGCCTTCATGTTCTCTATTTCACCTGTGTTTAAAAAAAAAAAAAGAAAAAGAAAAAGAAAAACAGCTGAAGGACATCAACAGGAGCTAGAGAGTGAGCTCAGTGGTTCAGACCACAGTCTGCTTTTGCAGAGAACCTGGGTCAGTTCCCAGCACCCACGCTGTGCCTCCCAACTGCCTATAACTCCTGCTCCATGGGATCCGATGCCCTCTTCCATCCTCCACATGCACTCACGCATGTGATGCCCAGATCCGCATGCAGACACAGCACCCATACATAGTAAATGAAACACAAGATTAAAACAGACATCAGTAGAGAGACGTGAAACTGTCTTCTCCACAAACAGCCTGATTATCCACACATTCTAATACAGGGCTTTGCGGACTGTCCTACATGTAAAAACAAACACAACTGAAAAAATAGTAGGCTATGGAGTGCAGGATAGAAACTCGGTATACAAAACTCAGCTATAGTTCTATACAGCATACAGAAACCAGGAGTTAAAATCAGTATCGTGAATAATAGCACAAAACCCACAGACACCTGGGCAAAGTGCACTGCAAGCTATGTGAGCCCTCTGCAGTGAAAAGCACCAGACACTTGGGATACAATTACAGCTCTGATTGCGTGGAGAGCAGGAACAGATAAATTCCCAACAGATGTCAACCATTCTCACCAAGTCTCTCTATGCACCCAGGACAAACCTCATCAAAACCCCAGTGCCTTGTCAGGGAGAAACTGACAAACAGGTTCTAAAATGCACGTGAAAATACAAAGGATCAAATCTGGGTATGAATACTCCACTATTCTTCTACTGAGAGCTGCCTCTATGAAACAGTGAGGACCAAAAGAAATTGTTCCTATTGTGATAAATAGTCTTTTATTCAAATTTTTTAAATTTAACATCCATGAGTGCTACATAGAATTATTCTATATTTATCACAATGCTAACAATAATGGAATATTAATAAGCTATTTATTAAACAAAGTACATACTAACTAATATAGTGTCCTGAATATTCACTATATGCAATATATGATATGAGGCAATCTGGGCACAATAGAGTACGCAGACCCCGTGATCCATTCTGCAGTTTGTGTTAGTAATGTGACATATGATTGGACTGGGAGGACAGCTCAGCATGAGAAATGTTTGCTCCACAAGCATGAAGACCTGAGGTTGATCCACAGAACATGAGTAAAGAATCTGGGTGGATGGTACACACTTGTAACCCTAGTGCTGGAAGACAGAGCTGGGGAGTCCTCAGGGCTCTCTGGCCTGTCAACCTAGTCTCATTGTCAAGTTCCAGGATGAATGAGAGACCTTGCCTCAAAAACCAAAGTGTGTGGCTACAGAAGAATTATACTCAATGTTGTTCTCTGGCCTCCACAGGTACACATACACTGATATATAGCCCATCTCCACAGAGACACACTTCCTCCAACAAAGTCAAACTTCCTAATAATACATTTACCCATGAGCTTATGGGGATCAGTTATATTCAAAGTATCACATTTCACTCCCTGGCCTCCATAAGTTTGTAACAGTCTCATAACGCAAAATAAATTTGTCCAACTTCAAAAGTCCCCATAGTCTATCACAGTCTCAACAACATTTTAAAGTCCAAAGTTCAAAGTCTCTTCTGAGATTCATGCAGTCTTTTAATTGTAACACCCTATAAAATCAAAATCAAAAAACAGATCACATACTTCCAACATACAATGGCACAGGATATACATTACCATTCTAAAACATACGAAGGGAGCATATTGAGGAAACACTGGACCAAAGCAAGACCAAAAACAAGCCAAGGAGACTCTGCATCTCCAGGTCTGATGTTAAAATGCTCTTTAGATTGCCAATTCTTTTCAGCTTTGTTGTCTACAACACACTTCTTTCTCTTGAGCAGATTCCACTCCCTATTAGCAGCTCTCCTTGGCAGGTAGCCCACAACTGTAGCATCTCCAACATGTTGGAGTCTCCAAGGCAGTCCAGGCTTCACCTTCACAGCTTCACACAATGGCCTCTCTAGCCCTCCATTCGGACACACCTGACACATGCCTGGCCTCAGTGGCCTTCCCTAGTTGCAGAGGGAGATTCCATAATGCCTATCTTCTATCCTTGACTCTGAAGCCAAAGATGCCAAGTTCTGCTGCTTGCTGGGGCTGGAACATGGCCCCCTCATTCAATTACATCTTCACCAGCTTTCTGTTTTCAATGGTTTCCTTCACTGCCTGAGCTTGGCTGTTCTGGATCTTTCTCTGTTAACCAGACTGGCCTCAAACTTAGAGATCCACCAGCCTCTGCCTTCTGAGTGCTTGGATTAAAGGCCTGCACCACCACACATGGCTCTAAGCTTTTCTTTAATTCCTTTTCACAAATTAGAAACTTAGCTGGGTGGGATCTTGCCCTGAGGTCACCACTTTCTTTATTCCATTTCTTAATCTGTTTATCTCCTTGAATGCCTCATTCCACTTCCTGGTGCTCCTTTTCTCCTCAAATTGTACATTTTGTAATTTACCCTGCTCAGCTTGTTCCTTATCATTACAAATCTTCATTAGAGTTAAGCACTAATAACCACATGATAGAGTCTATACTAGGCTGTTTTGAGATTTCCACTGCCAATGGAATTAATCCAAAACTCTTCACTTTAGCTTCAGGCAGACTCTTCAGACAAGAGCAAAAGGCAACCATTTTCTTCACCAAAATAACACGAGAACAATCTCTAGGCCACATATTAATATTCTTCTCCTCTGAAACCTCTTGTTGGTTTCAGTTCAAATCACTCCTAGCACCACTGTCTTCCATGCTCCTACTAGAATGGCCCCTTAAGCAGTGCTTAAAGCATCCCACTGCTTTTCTAGCCCAAACTCCCAAAGTCCATATTACTCCAAACAAAAACATGATCCAGCCTATCATAGCAATACCCTAGTCCCTGGTACCAACTTCTATCTTAATTAGAATTTCAATTGCTGTGAAGAAACACCATGACCATGGAAACTCTTAAAAAGGAAAACATTTATTTTGCTAGCTTACAGTTCAGAGGTTCAGTCCATTATTATCATAATGGGACATGATAATATGTAGGCAGACATGGTGCTGGAGAAGGAGCTGAGAATTGTGCATATTTGATCCACAGGCAACAGGAAGTGGCCTGAGACACTGGGCATGACTTGAGCATATATGAGACCTCAAAGCCCACCTCCACACACTTCCTCCAACAAGTCCATACCTACACCAACAAATCCACACCTCCTAATAATGCCACTCTCTATGAGCTTATGGGGGCCAAATTACATTCAAACTACCACAAGCATCAAAGGAAGTTGGGCAAGAACTCAAAGCAAGAACCTGGATACAGAAACTGAAGCAGAAGCCACCCACCCACCTTCAGTTTCCTATGATCAGAGAATATTCCAGGAGAATGCCACACACTTCTGAGTTGAGTCACGAGCTCAGTGGTAGTGATTTAAGACACTAAGTACAGCACACAGCTCTGTGGGCTTCATATGAAATGAAAAAGCTATGAGAAGTATCATAAACTCTGTTGGTATAGTTGACTGGGTGCCATTGTGAGCCACAATGACAGCTTGGGCTGAGGAACCAACAGGCTGAGGGGAAGCTGAGGCAGGTCCTCAGATCTGCCTCACATGCTAACAACTTCTATAAAAGAGACATTCAGTAAAAGTGTTTTCACCGAGCTTTGTTCCAATAGTTCTACATAGCAAACAATTGCTAAATCTCAGTGGTTCAAAACAAAGAAAAACGCCCATCAAGTTCTCCCTCACCTGTTGGCAGGCCAGCAGTAAGTTAGCAGAGTTCAATTAGTCCCAGACGGGCACAGAGTCAAGCTGGTTTCTTGTATCTCCGATTCTGAAACTCAAGTAAAAAGAGCTGTGGCTAACTCTGGCGGCGTGCTATAGTCATGGCAGATGGCAGGAATATAAGAGAGGCCAATGAAAACCGCCATGCCTGCCTCTTAAAGCCATAGTTCAGAGCTGGCACATTATCCTATAGATATATTTTTTTAAAAAGCAGCAACTCAGAACTGTCATTTATTTGCTCTGAAAAGCTTCTGGTCCGCTAGGATAACGTACTGTTCATTTCTTCTGGACAATCCTTACTTACGAGCATCGAGCATAGCAGGTCTCTTTAGCGATTACTTTGCTATTTGTAGCGTCATTCTGAATCCTTTGAGGCGGCCATTCTTCAGCCTTACCTTCCTTGTGCTGAAACTTGATGATGGAGCGCTTGAATCTTGCTTCATTAGTGGCACCATTTGTTCCATTAACACTTGCAGAGACCGGGGACGTCTAGAGAATCCAAGTACTGTTCATTCACGAACTGGAAGTGAAAGTTCCTATGCTCTGGATACCGAGAATAGCCTGCTTGTTCCTAAGCCTTCCTCTAAGCTCCATGTGTTTGCTTAGTTAACACCCTCAACTTTTTCCTCTTTTTCCCCTTCTCTCTCTCTCTCTCTTTTAACTACTGCCAGCATTTCAAAGTCAAAATAGCTGTGGAGGGACAAGCTGTTCTGCCTCATGTCTCCTCAACATTCCTTGTTCAGTGTATCAAAACACAGGGAGCACACAGAATCAATGCAACAACTCCTCAAAATGTCCCCTGTTGGGAATTCTCTTCCTAGGAAAGCATCAAAAGAAAGATGGGGATCCTGCTCATACACAAAGTCACAGCTGGAAAAGTACTGATTTAAACTTTCACTCATTCCTTGAAAAGACCCTCTGCAGGGGAACACACTGAAGCCGAGATTAAAACTTGCAAAGGCGTTTTCTTTCCAACAGACCGATTTAAAATCATTAGGAGACGTTCGCTGGGGAGGAAGTCAGTGGACTAACATCCTAACTCAGATCTCCTCAGTCTGTTGGAGAGAATTTTAATTTCAAACAGTAACTCCTGTGACAGTCCTGTACCGAGTAGGTAAGATGGGCCCGTACGCAGGAAAGTGAGAGGAAGGGTCGATATGATGGTCAAAACGACTTCATTTCAGAGCAGAGGTCAGGGAACCAACTTTGCTTTTTGATATGGGGAGTGGGAAACATCACTAAAAAAGGAGTTCATTTCTTTGTCTACACAACTGGACACATACAAAAGTCTCTCTCTTGCTCATTTTCTTATAACTAAATTGATATCTATCCCAACAAAACAGTTTCTAGTTTTACAGTCAAAACAATACTACATCTACCATTGGAGCACATCGCAGAATTAGATTAATATCTGAACGGACATTGAACAATGATCCTTGACTACTGTCGTAACCTTCAGGGGAGAAGCTAGAGCAACAATCAGAGAGAACATTTGTGAGAGAGAGAGACAGAGAGAGAGAGAGACAGAGAGAGAGAGAGACAGAGAGAGAGAGAGAGAGAGAGAGAGAGAGAGAGAGAGAGAGAGAGAGAGAGAGAGAGAGAGAAGTCACTTTTGAGCAGACTCTGGCAATAAGCTGCTGCTTTTCCATTAAACACCAAGACCATCTAAACCATCATTCAGCATCCACCACTGTCCCTAGCCCCTCATAGCCCAAGTCTTTTCTCAAGCATTCTTTCCAAAGGGCCACCAGAGACAGCTGTGTAAGGACACCTCGGAAAAGAGCCATCCACCCTCCACTCTGGCGAAGCACGAAGAAAACGATATTTAAAATTTTTATAACCAGAATAGTACAGCACGGAATAAAATATTTTAAGCCTAAAGGAGAGCGTATGTCATCCTTAAAAACAGAAAGGTCAATTTGGAGCAGATCGTGTGAGTCACTTCTGGACTTACCAGAAGGAGTGTTTCTGTGGTTTGCTGTCTCAGTCATTATGAGAAGAATTGCTCAGGGACCAGTGAGGCGCTTTAGAGGGGAAGGATGACAGCTTGAGTTGCATTTGCTCCACCTTCCTGGAATCCACACAGCAGAGAGAACCAGCTCCGGCTAGGTGCCCTCTGACCATGGCATGAATTCCCTTATCCTATTGTTCCAGCCCCTCGGCCATCAGTGTCCCCTCTCTTTGAAACTGAACTGCTATAGAAAAAGGGAGAGCAAGATAATGGAGAGTCGGTTTTCCAATTCTTTTTTTTTTTTTTTTTTTTTTTTTTTTTTTTGGTTTTTTTCGAGACAGGGTTTCTCTGTGTAGCTTTGCTCCTTTCCTGGAACTCGCTTTGGAGACCAGGCTGGCCTCGAATTCACAGAGATCCGCCTGGCTCTGCCTCCCGAGTGCTGGGATTAAAGGCGTGCGCCACCACCGCCCGGCGGTTTTCCAATTCTTAACTACCTGAGATAATCATTTAGCAGAAGAAGGGGTCTGTTTCAGCTGTTCTCGGGATATGGTTGGTTGGTCTCAGTGATCTGGGCCTGTGGGGCAAACCGTGAAAAGAGCTGATAGCAAAATGAAAGTGTTCACTTCGTGGCCAGGAAGTCAAAGAGAAGGATGAGACCCTCTGAGGCACAACCCCCAGTAACCTGAAGGTCTCTCACTTGGCTGACCTCCTAAAGGTTTCACTACTTCCTAGTAGCGCCACTCCAGGAAGCCCCGACCACACGGTCTCTCAAGGACTCGGAGTCTCCAAGCTCAGGCAGAGGCAAAGGCCTTTAGGACTGGAGTGGGCACTTGGAGGCCTTACTTCTCCACCCATTCTACTAATGGAAACTTTATCACGTCCAAATGCATGGCAGTCTAGGAACTGTGGCTTGTAGCCACTGTGTTAGTGGGGCTCGTTGATCAGCAGTTTTCCTTTTACTCTAATGATGGGCACATGGAAAGAAAAATACAGTTTTTATATGTTTTTTTGTATTGTTGGACTGTAGCAGTTCAACAAGAGAACTTCCAAAGAATGACATTAAAAAGATTTTTCTATCAGTGCCTCTGGAGTCTGAATATGAAAACTTCCTTTTATTCACAATATGGCCCTAAATCATAAAGGAAATGCATGGGAACATCATTTTAACAATAACCAAGTAGGAGCTTCTAACACACAATAAGAAAACTGACAGCCCAACAAAGTAAAGTTGCCTACGAGGGCAGCTGGTAAGAGAGGCAAGACATTCTCAGACCAGGATTTCTTAACTTGATGTGGTTTAACTAAAATACATATTTGTCTAAATCATTTCAGTTAATCAGCAGTTTGGGCACCAAAGTGGGGGGTTCCCCCCCCCCATACACACAATAGAGGTGATTTGGCTTCCTAACCAACCCAGAAGTCACAAACAAGCACTAATGTTCTGTTTAAAATTTTTATGCTAAGAGTTTATACGAAGTTGGAAGAATTTTCAAATATCTTTCCCTGGAAGTGTCAGGGCAATTTTTTATGTAATAGTCGGTGACTCAATATTTTCCTTTTGTCATTAACACTTTAAAAAAGAGGATTATGACAACAGAAAGGAAGGTGGAAGAGGCATCTTTCCATCTCCTCGTTTCTACACTCCAGGTCCAGGTTTCTCATGGACACAGTATTGACATTTTGAGCCATTAATTCTTTTTGCAGGGGCTCTTCCAAAATCCAGAAGGTAACCAGGCCATGTTCCCTCCAAAGTCTCAAAAGAAGGAAGTGCCCTTGTCTCCTTTGGCTTCCAACAGTTTCCAGTGGTTCTTTATGTCCCCTCCTTGTAGAAACATGTCTCCAGTCTCTGCCTCCGTCTCCACATGGCTTTCTCTCTGCATTTATGCCCAAATTTCCCCTTTCTTGTTAGGGCTTGACCTAACTCAGTCTGATCTCATCTGAATTTGAATACATCTAGAAAGACCTCATTTTCAAATGGGTCATATTCACTGATTCTCAGTGGACATGAATTGAGGTGAAGGACATTATTTAACCCAATTCAGGTTGGGTTAATAGAAGTTAGGTAAACTTTAGAAAAATACAGTCATGTCTCTTGCCTGCCTGTCTAAATTGTGTGTCAATCATAAGCCAATAAGAAGTGTTAATATAGCACCAAAGGCTTTGAAATTTTATATTCTAGACCTCTAAAAATAAGCTGTTTCTCAGCTCTGATTCTGAAGAAGATTGTGGCCATTTGAGTTACATTATAACGTAATATTAGCCAAAAGAAATAGGCATCTGTCCTTTTCACAGGTAAATCCCCAAATAATCCCATATTTATAGTAATTCGCATTTTCTTCCATTGTTATCTGTAACATTTAAATAATCACATAAAATGAGAATATAGTAAGTCAAATATAATATGAAAAATTCTGATGGAAAAAGCATGAGGCTTATTACAGCATTCAACCTGCCTCACTTATCTATTCTCCTATTTTCAAAATGGAGTATGAAAGCAAGAAAAATAAAACCAAAGAAGACTGAGTTGCCACTCAAAATCAGGTAGACTAGTTAGTGTTGATCAGAGATGACTAACTAGTTCCCTTAATCAGGTAGACTAGTTAGTGTTGAGTAGAGAGGACTAACTAGGTCCCTTAATCAGATAAACTAGTTAGTGTTAAACAGAGAGAACTAACTAGGTCCCTTAGTCAGATAAACTAGTTAGTGTTAAACAGAGAGGACTAACTAGGTTCCTGAATCAGGTAAACTAGTTAATGTTAAGCAGAGAGGACTAACTAGGCTCTCTTGGGTCACTGGTGAAACTGGGGATGTGACATTGGCCTTATCCCTCTTGCCATACTGACCACCTCCACCATCATCTTTGTTTTTTCAGCACCCAAAAAAGAAATTCTATGCCTTAAGGCTTATATGGAAATCATATCACTAGCCAACCCCCAGACGCGATTATGATAATATTTAGGAAAAATGTACCTTTGAAAGCAGAGTTACATAAAATATCTCAATCATATTCACTATGAATTTTGTGTTAATCCATCAATCTGGTAGATTGTCTAAACTGTGACAAATTGAATCAGTTTTTAATACATCCAAAGATAACATCTAGATCAGTTACCATAGTCTAGTTGCTTGATTAGTCCAATGTGTCCTTAGTACACTAAAATATTTACTAAGAAGCAACTTAAGATAGGCTCCTGTTCATAAGGAGCCCAATCTCATGATTTATTCATCTATCTACCTATCTGGCAAGCCAACCAGGCAACAATACATATTAACTACCAGTTTATGACTAGATATCAAGCTAAACAATTAGGGCTATCAAAAAGAAATTAGACCTGTCTTCAAGAAATTTGTAATATTTGTAATATTGAATAATGCTTTTATGTGACCATCATCTGGATAACAGGCACATATTCCCCACGTCTCGAGTATATGCTTACTGACAAACTGTGAGAAAGGGCGACCAGACAAATATACTGGGTGAGCATAATACATATCATAACCTGCTTAGATAGCCAGACACATAAGAAAAATGAGTAGAAAAACAGAAGCTAAAAGGAATAGTGTGAAAAATAGCTGCATTCAAATAAAGGAATGCTTAAATCAG